AGCCAGACACAACCCCAATGAAAGAATAAACCATTCCAAGCTTTTACTTGTTGTTAAACAAATGGTTAAATAACTCTATTCAATTATATTTATCGCTTTATGTATATTCTGTACTAATAAGGCTGAAAGTAGTTAAGTAGTTTTAAAAAATGATTTTGGTTTCCTTACCTATACCCCATTGATTTTACCCATGGAAACAACAGACAAACATTTACACAAATAAAAATAATATTTTTAATGATTTAGCAGTTACAGATTATCTCAGTTTTCAGTGCTTCAGAACAATATCGTTTACATACATAGCTAAAATTTAGTTTTGGTGAACCGTGATTTAAAAATAAGAATATAAGAGTTTATTTGTACACTTTTATTTTTAACTGTGCAATATTTGATGTATTTAACTACTCAACGCGTACACCACGATAATGCTTTAGATGAATAGTATAACTATCTTGATCGAAATAAAATTTTATGGTTTTAAAAAAGAGCTAATAACGTTCCTTACGCTTCATTAATACTTCAAAATAATTTTTACCCTCTGAAATATGAAATTAAAGTAAAGGAACATTATCACACGTAATCTTAAGCACATGAACAGTGATGTCAGATTACGTGCTTTTAGTCTTAATAAGCAATCTCTCACTCAACGGTTGCAGAAATGGTAGGACACTTTGTAGAAACCATTTCCAGCACTTATTTTTTTTTCTGAAATTCTATGGGAATATGCATTGTTTTATGAAGAATCTAGAGATGTCGCTGATCTAAATTTCATAGCGTCCAAAGAAGTTATGATTTGTTTTTGTTAGTATATTTGGGTGATTTTTTTACCCTAATTCTGAACTTCTTTTGAAACCTATGAGTAATTATTGAGACAAAGAACCACAATATCTGAATGTTTGTTCTTGTCGTGATGGAAACGAAGTCAGGTTCAAAACTAACCCACAAATGTAAAGTAGCAAAATGTCCGAGGTGTTACAAGTATAACAGATGTGGATGCGATCACAATGGCACAGCAGCTGCTCACAAAATTAACCGTATGTGAGGTCAGAAGATTCGGCTGAAGAGGTAATTTTGGTAGGATAGACATATTTCAACTACTAGTCGGATCAAAGAAAACAGCATGGCAAAATGATCACTGAATCATGTTCTTCTAAGCCTATACCTCACCCTTAAGCTTCCGGATTTCTTGATCGATGGGATACCCTACCACCCACCAAAATATTTTCTGCCATTCAGCCAGAGATTGCTTGTGGAGAAACAACGACTAAAAGAATATGAGCTTCTTCTGTCCAAAGCATTCAGTTATTGTGCTAGGTATAGATGTGCCATCTGTCTGTGTAATATAACACTATTATTGGCTGTTATCATGCTTGGTCTTTATTTATTATTACTTACTTTAACTCAAAATATAATGTACTTAAGTTCAACAAATTACATGCAACTGTGAAATCCATTGATGTTTAGATATATAATACATATCTGTCTATCGTTCCTCTGGAAGTGGCGGAAACAATAAGATCATATATAGTTGTATATGACCATATTCATGTGATTTAAAGAGTTTAGTTAATTCTCCGTGAATGCTTAAGTAATTTTATAAAACACTATCAAACTCAAAAACTTGTCTTATTGCTCGAAATCATCTTAGCTAAAATTTATCATAATATAATTAATTATCTGTTCAAACATTTAATTTCGTACAAGATTTTACGATCTGTTATTATTTCGACTTTGTAAGTTATATCGATGGAATGACATTTATGAATTTATACTTAACCTATAATGTTTCTTTTAATTATAGATGGAACATCTCTGTTACATCAGAATGTTCGTCGCAATGTAGTCGTGGTACGAGACAACGAGATGTTAAATGTTTGCAAGAATTTAGCAAACACAAAACACTACAAGTTAATGATGACTTCTGTGCACACCTTGGTGATAAGCCAAGTCTTACAGAATCCTGTGAAGGTAACTGCCCAGAGTCTCGTTGGGTGTTTGGAAAATGGTCTGCCGTAAGTACAGCTTGGTATAACAGTCTAGTTATTTATTTTTTATAACACATCTGATCTATCTGCTTTCATGGCGACACTACTATAGAATGATTTGGATAGCTTGATCTCTTTACCCGTATATCGTGCTTTTGTGGCAGTTTGAATTCTTAAGTGATTTACTAGCTGTGTCTAGTGGGTTAGCTCAGTCGGTAGTGTACATAAATAACACCGAGGTACCTCACACATAAAATCATAGTTTGAAGCGGATGGACAAAACGAGTTTAAAATATATGTATATATCGCTACGTTTCGCCATGTTAATATGACATCAGATCATCGTGTCATCGCTCTTTAAGATTGTAAGCTCAGATTTAAAGTTTCTAACCGCTTGAATCTTACTAAAAAAAAAAACGGTACTGATTTGTTTTTGTTTTTCAAATAAAACTTTTGGGGGGACACATGAATAATGAACATCCTTAAATAAATTGAGAACTTTGTAATTAAAATATATCCTCGGCCTTTTATGATGTTTACTCACTTTTTGAGACTTAAGAGCTATTAATGCTTCGTCAATTTATATATTCTATACCATCAACTATAACATTGTTTCCTAGCCTGGGAGAATTTGAATTTGATAAATTTAATTCCTCCTGTTTATCGTAAACTTCAAATTTCTGTGAGAATTCCAGACAAATTAAAATATGTTTACTTATATGTTTAGAGTGAATTTTTATCACTGTATATGATTGCTCAGTCGTCGTACTTTACACATGTTCAGATAAACTTGAGACATTGCAAATATTCGTTGATATTTAGGTTAATTTTGTTTTATCTACGCTATTTTGCAGATCAGTCTTTTCATGTTTTCACTTAATCATTAAAAAACATTTTGGGTATATTTTATTCATGTATTTGGTGTTTCAAAATATTGAGCTCTCATTCTTTCTTCATTGTAGTGTTCTAAATCCTGTGGAGGCGGCGAACAAATTAGAAGCGCCACCTGTGTCGACTTGGACGGTAAAAAACTATCTGAATTTCGCTGTGGCTCAGCGGAAAACCTCAAGAGGCAAAGTTGTAACACAGGGCCTTGTCCACAGTGGATGACTGGAGAGTGGACAGAAGTATGCTCTCGTTTCTGTTTCATGTGTCTTTTCTTATTACATGCCCTCCAGTGACACAGCGGCATGTCTGCGGATTTATACCGCTAGAAACCGGGTTTCGATACCCGTGGTTGGCAGAGCACAGATAGCCCTTTGATTAGCTTCGTGCTTAATAATCAACATCTTATTACATAGTTTTTAATAACCATATCTTGACCACTAGCAGTTTTACAAATTTTCTACTATTGGAAAATAATTATTTCAGTATCTAAATACATTTCATAGATGTGGGCCTAAAGTTGTCCAATAATACAATTTTTTTTAATAAGAAAGTTTGTAATGAAGCGCCAAGAAAACGTTCTATCCACCTTAGTTTATCTTGAAAAGTTGTGCTGATGTATCTCAGTTTCAGTTTCTATATAATTGTAAAAGTACTCGAAACCAAAAAAGTACTAAATAGTTACTTTGGTTATATTTCTATCTTAACAGTTATCAAGATCAATTACATAAAATTATGATCAGCCTATCTCATAAGTTATTATCAAAATGTACTACACAGAAATATTTTGGCTATTTTGATAATCACAAAAAGCAATTAGATCTATTATCTTTGTCAGAATATAAAACAGTGTAACAGGTAGAGCAGTGTTACAGGTATCAAAATACTGTACAAAAATAGAAGAACAGAACAAGGTGTGTTATCAAGACATTGCAAAGAAAAAGAAAAACTTATAAGACTCGAGACTACTGCAGTGAAAGTGGATCTGTATGGATGCAGGTGGAGAGGAACTGGGTAAATTGTGGACATAGAAAAGTCAGTATGCAGCGCGGAAAACTATACAAAGTCAGTCGCTTCATTTAACTTGCCTTCTTTAATCGTGTTTTAGTACATCATAGATGTAATACAAAAATTCACTGTCCACCATTTTTATGTGTTAATGATAAAGTACACGTGAGTCTTTCCTCCTCAAGGTTAAACAGTAATAACGGGCAAGTCAAAAAACCGTATAAATGTAAAAGGTGTCGGCAAAGGATTTGAAAAGAAAATTTTATTTCCTAACATCCTTAGATAGCATAATATAGAGTGAGCCACTGTAGCCGGTTTCTAATTTTAAATAGGAGTCACAAATGAAAGACAAGACCATCAATTACCATAACGTTCAGTGTAAATTACAAGAAAACCGAAAAACAAGCGTATAAAAAGGGTCAGATCCCAGAAAATCACTAATACGTGTTGTAATAACTTTAATAAACTCACACAGTGTAATCCTGTAAAGACTG